ATGCTCAATCAAGGACTCGATTTACTTTGGGAGGAAATGGACATATTGGTAGACCCCTCCGCTTTGAACTGCTTGCAGAACTTGCCTGGACTATGTATCACTTGTATACATTGTGAACTATCGTTTGGTGCAGCGAATTGTGGTAGTGCTGGCATATCTTTGCTGATGGTGTCACCAGTGATGCAATTTTTCCAAAGGAGCCGTCAATTGGCTTGGTGTCGTGGCATTTCTGTATCCTCCTCCCTTCTGCTAGTGATGGTCTAAAATTTGGGGGCCAACAGAGGTGAGGCAAAGAACCTCACCCCCCCACACTGGCACCAAGGCCAAATTTGGGGGCCAACAGAGGTGAGGCAAGAACCTCACCCCCCACTGGTGCATAGGCCTATCCACAAGTATGGCTGTATGCTGGACCGGTAGTCAGTGACGGGTAGGATCCAACTGCAGTGGTATCAACCTAAGACAGGAGGCTGACGCCTAGAGGTCAGTTTTTCCCATGACGGGTAAGAACCATATGTTGAATTGGACAACCTAACAGGCACGGTCCTTAAGCCACATTGCTTGTTGTTTAATTAATCAGAAGGGGGGAGATGCTGAGGGCCATTGCTAAGTAAGAATGATGCATGGCATGACCCAGGTTATTTGCAGTGACATTGCATGTAAGGTGACCTTGCTCAAGGACCAGGGCGGATCCAGGTTTAGGGTATATCCTGCTGGGATTAGGGAGTATCCCGCTCCTTGGGTTTAGGGCGGTTCCAGGTTTAAGGTGTACCCTGCTGGGAATAGGGCGGATCCTGCTGCTTCAGGCAAGCCGGCTCCTTGAGTTCCCGTGGGATTCAGAGAGTTTTGGGGATTTTGCCCAGAATGTGATTTGGGCCCAGAATGTGAATTCGCCAAGAACGTGTTTGTAGAGTGCCGGTGTGAGTTCGGGAATAAAGAATTGCTGTTTGAATCTACAAGGCTGTGAGTGGCTCGTGATTTTGTGCCCAGCCAGACTGCGGCAACCAGCAGGCATCCCCTTCTGTGATGAGCTGCTAAACTAAAGGGGGCTTTAAGACCTGCAGAGGCCTGCAACTTAGACCCATCTGCCAGCAGAATCAAAGAATCTAGTTTCATCTCAAATTCCAGTTTCAGAAGAGCCAAGGAAAAAAAAGGAACCTTGGAAAAATAAGCAAACAAACATTCTACACTTGGCACCATATACAAACATGGATCCAAAGAATTTTGACCTAAAATATAAATCTATAAAACTTTCAGAAGAAAACTCTGGAGATCTTGGTGACTTCACTGCAAAAATGTCTCAAATATGAACCAAAGGCACAACTGGGAAAAAAGAAGAAAAAAAAAAGATAAACTGTATTTCATCCAAATTAAAACTTCTGTTTTTTGAAAGCTACTATTATAAAAAAAATCATCAAAACATTGGGAGAAATATTTGCAAAACACAGTTGACAAAGAGATCTAGAATATAGAAGTCTCAAAAACAACCCAATTTAAAAGATGGATAAATAAGCTGAACCAACGTTTCAACAAAGACTGATGATATGGACAGCAAATAAATACACAAAAATGCACTCAACATCCTTAATATAAGAAAAAGAAAGACCCAGTTTGATGTTGACTTCTGACAGCTGTTAAGGTCCTCATCCTCCCCTTTCCTCTTCGACCCACATCTGGGCAATCAGATAACAAAGTCCATGGATCCTTTGATACCCATAGAAATTTCAAACTACCCAGCCTGACTGGCAAAAAAAGCAGGTAGGGAGCATCCCATCCAGCCTCTCTTCCTTAGTAACAATTTTAAAGATCCCAATCACCAACCCCCTGCCATCATCTTCTTATTCCAGAAAAAACCTGAGCCCTTCTTCTTGATGGACCTTGCTATTTACTGTGTGAGTTATAAACTTTATTTCATATCCATCGGTACCAGTGTGTCACACATTCTCACACCCAGAAATTCCTGAAGGAAAGGACTATTGTCCAATATCAGGCAGGGATGGCTAGGTGCAAAAATAAAATAATTAGCCATTAAAAAATGAAAGTTAAAACCACTAAGAGGTACTACTGCATAATTACTAACATATTACTACTATGAACTAATGCTACATTTAAAAATGGCTGCTCTGGGGCTGGGGTTGTGGCTCTGTGGTAGAGTGCTTGCCTTGCCTGCATGAGGCACTGGGGCACTGGGTTCGTTCCCCAGCACCACATTAAAAAAACTAAATAAACACAATACAGGTATTGTATCCATCTACAATTAAAAATATATTTTTTAAAAAAACGGCTGCTCTAGAAATACAGCTCAGAAGTGAAGCATTGGCTTAGCGTGTACAAGGGCCCGAATTCTAATTCAAGCACTGCAAAAAACAAAAAAAGAGCGAGAAAATGGCTAAATTTTTAAGAATTCACAACAGAGAGCATTCACAAGAGTAAAGGACTGCACTCATACAGAAATGCAACACATTTCTTATCACATTTTCCAGATGTGGGCCAAAGAGGAAGGGGGAGAACAGAGTCCCTAAAAGTTGTCAGAAGTGCAGCCAATGTGGAAAACAGTTAAGTCAATTTCTTTCAAAGTTAAACAGAGCCAGCTGTGGTGGCACATGCCTGTAATCCCAGCGACTTGAGAGGAGTCTTGCTGAGGCAAGAGAATTTCAAATTCAAGACCAGCTTCAGCAACTTAGCAAAACCATGTCTCAAAATAAAAATAAAAAGGGCTAGGAATATAGCTCAGTGATAACAGAACCCCTTGGTTTGATCCTGTAAAGGTCAGGCGAACGTCAGAGGAAAAGACCACCAAGAGACTGTCTCATGCAACAGCAAAGGGTTTATTGGGGGTCCAGCATGCTGGGGCTCCAAGTCTACCTGGAAGAGGTAAAGAGCAAAGAGCCCCGAGAACAGCTTGAGCAGAGCTTATATACATTCTTTGAGAAGGGCAGGGACTTCACATATAGCATAACAAATCACCTCACGCCGTGGGAAAATCAAACAACAACTCTAAAACATGATTATCACATTCACTGGCGGGAACAAGTTAGGTAGGGGTGATTGGTCAGTACAAAAGGAGTATTCGTTTGAACTGATTGGTTTAAGCCAAGAGGGGTGTACATGCTGAACTACATGGTTTCCCAACAGGTTATCAACTACCATAAACTACTGGGAGGGTTATCTGGCATCCCAGGTATTTCCCTGTCTCATGCTGATTGGTGGCTGCTAGGGGGCTGCTATGGATCCCCACCTAGCCTGACTGAGTCAGGGACACCTGGCGCAGCAGATCTCTCCTGTAGATAAACAACTTAGCAGGGTGGGAATGTGCCTAGGAGTGCTCTGTGGGTTTTTCCAAGGACAAAGGCCATGTCCCTTCCTTGGACAGCTTTGCTCTGAGATAGAGGCTGGTTTTTCAATCCCTAGTACCATACATGTACAAAATAGTTAAAATATATAACCCATCAACCTCACTTCTCAGTATTATGCAACCGAAATAAAAAGTCTATGTCTGAATGTTTATAGTAGTTTTAAAACTACTCCAAATTGGAAACAACCCCAATCTCCTTCAAATGAAACTGAAGAATTGGTGGTACATCCATACTAGGAATACTCTTCAGCTATAAAAAGGTATGAAATACTGGTATGAGGAACATGGGTGAAGCTCAAATGCATTATGCTAAGTGAAAGAAGTCACACCCAAAAGGCAACAAATAGCATGATTCCATTTATATGACACTCTCAAAAAAAGACAAAACTATAAATACCTAGAAGGACCAAAAACAGATCAGTTGCCAGGGACTGCTGGTGGAGAGGAAAGGATCTACTATAAGAATGCACAAAGAAATGTGTTATAATAAATTACTCCAATTAAATAGAGATGAGTCAGGAGTTCGAAACATCTGTTAGATATGTTACCATTATTTGAACCCATATTAACAAAAGTTTAGGACAGTAATTCTTAAAATTTACTGCGCATTACTAATCACTAGGACCATTTGTTTTCTGGGTGTTTTGGTTTGGTTTGGGTTTGGGTTTTTTGGTCCTGGAAACTAAACTCATAGCTGCTGAGCTACAACCCCAGGTGTCTAGACAATTTGTTAACATTTTAGAAGCCCACATGTGTCTCTATTTTTACTCCGGGCAGGAGCTAGAATCTGTAGTTAAGTATTTATATGGTGCTAAGAGCCATAGCCAAGTAGTAATGATGCATGGCATTTTTGGTTGAAAGATGACGCCAGCAAGCCATTGAGATGATATGATTATGTTAAGATCTGTATTCAAATGGATATTAGACCCCTGCTGTCCACCTGGGCCTGCTATGGGACTCCTGGAGAGTTCCCATTGGTCGGGGAAGTGCGGTAGGAGGGAATTCCAGAGGAGGGATTTCCTGTTGGTGTGTGGGTCCGGGAGAAAGCTGCATGTGTGGGTCAATATATTTTCCCGGGAGCATACAGGACATTGGCGGGAGTTTCAAAATAAAGTTTGTTCCTGTTTGAATGGCTCGTGATTTTGTGCCCAGCCAGACTGCGGCAATATGGGTCTGGTGCAGGAGGTCCAAAGACTACACTTTGGGTTGCTATGCAGCACTGTCATGGCAAAAGTTGATGGAAACACCTTCACACCATTTGTTCATCTGTCTCAATTCTTTCCAAGGCTCAGCAGCCCTAGTTTATTTACAGGGTACAGTATATACATCTTCTGGAATTGCTCTTCCCACACTACTGCCTCTAGCTGAGCAACGTGCATGAAGTATGTACAATGCTCACCATTACAGCAAAAAGCACCTGATATAGTAGACAGTAAATATTTGTAAAATTGAGCAACACATGCAGCTAATCTATTTTGTCAATATAGCACAATCAGTTTTATATAAAAGCTGCTCAATACATGTTTTCTGAATGAAACTGTTTGTGTGTGTGACAAAAAGAATGGAGAAAAAAATGAATAATGGCCTGTATAAAAGACAACAGAAACAACTATGCACAGATGTGGTGAGCCACTTCTGCCGTTTCTGCAGATTATGGTCGCCATTACAAGATGACGCTGGCTCCGCTGTGGTCTGTGACAAACAACTCCTTATCTGGGAGAGTTGGCACATGATTTTTCACCACCCTGTGAGAAAGCTCCACGCGGCAGCTTTGCATTGGGGCTTGGGATGCTTTATTAAGGCTGGGAGGGGCATCCGAGAGGGAGAAGAAGAAATATCAAGGGCCTGAATAAACTGCTGAAAGAAGATTCCTGAGTTGCGTCTTCCTTGCGGGCAAGGGGTCGCGACAAGTGGTGCCGAAACCCGGGAACCAGAACTTTCAGCAGTCAGGGGTGGTGCACCGGTTAGTCCCAGGTAAGTGGGATCCGCGATCAAAGCGGGGTTAGTCCCAGGTAAGTGGGATCCGCGACCAAAGCGGGGCAGCTCCTCTGTAAAGAAAGAGAGAGCATTACATTTTATTGCAGCTGCACTGTGTACTTTCGCTTTTGTTTTCTGTGTTTCTTTTGTTGTGTCATTTCGCTTTTGTTTTTTGTGCTTCTTTTGTTGTTGTGATGACAGGGACGCTCCCCTGTAAAAGGAAGAGAGCGGGGAATGCATAGAACAGAACGCTCCCCTGTAAAAGGAAGAGAGCGGGGACTTTTGTACTTTCACTTTCTTTATAGCTCTAAAAACATTATGGGCGTTGCTTCTTCAAGCCCAATTTTGTTGGCCCTAGATGTGTTGTTACATTCAAAAGGACTTAAGATAAAGCAGAGTACTTTGCAGATGTTTTTAAGAGAAGCTGATATAGCGGCTCCTTGGTTTGCTTTTTCAGGGAGTCTTACGGTTCCCAGCTGGGACAAATTAGGGAAAGATCTAGATTTCGCTCATGAGCAAGGTACCTTGCAGGGTGGCATTATACCACTTTGGAAGTTAGTTAGAGGATGTATAACAGATGGTAAATGCCAGGAAGCTGTGAGTGAGGGTCAAGCTATTCTTGAGCAATTGCATGAGGAAAAATCTGAAGGATCATGTAGTGAAGTGGCAGAGAGTATTAAAAGTAACAGTAGTGAGAAGGCAAAAGAGCCTGAAGATAAAAATAGGAGAAGGCTCTACCCAGACTTGACCGAATTAAAAACGCCTGAGAACACAAGCGACTCAGAGAGTTCTGAGGACCTTGATATATTGTTACAACAACTACATAAGATAAAAATGAAAAAGAAGAAAAAGGAGACACAGGGCACGCAGGCCTACTGTAAGAAGGGGAAGGGAGTTAACATCGGTCAACAAAACTCTGAGGAGGAGGAGGTAGAATATCTAGAAGAAGATATGGTGCCGATTGCCCCACCTCTGTATGTGGGGGGGAGCCAAGGTTCCGGGAGATCTTTTCATGCACAAGTTTGGAGGACAGTTAATACAGATATGGGACTTGCATACCCTGTATTTCAGGACAATAACAGGGGAAGATATCATGAGCCTTTAGACTTTAAGATAATTAAAACCTTGGCAGAATCTGTCCGCACTTATGGCATAGATGCCGCTTTCACTCTCACTCAGGTGGAGGGACTTACTAGATTTTGCATGACTCCCTCAGATTGGGCTAGTCTAGTCCGCGCTTGTGTTTCCCCAGGGAAATATTAGGAGTCCAAAGTTGGCTGTTTAATGTTTCTGGCAGTACCCAAGACTCGGAGCGAGGTAGGAGGCTTAAAATTTCTGCAAATAATTCACAATTATCTAATGCTACATTACCCTCCGCAGCAGTCTGTCTCCAATCTCTGTTCCTGTTTCTTTTGGCTAATGATACATTACAGGGGATGCTTAATTGCTCTAATATTACCTGTTATTTGTCTGAGTGTTGGAATGGATCCTGGCCTATGGCAGTGGTTATGAAAATTCCAACTTTTGTCCCGATCCCGGTTACTGCAGATCCAGAGTCATTTCCTATTGTTGAACTGATTAGAGCCCATAGAGATTTTGGAATTACGGCAGCTATAGTGACAGCTGTGGCGGTGTCTGCTGCTGCAGCAGTTACAGCTGGAGTAGCCATGGCCAGCCAGGTACAAACTGCTGCCACTATTAATCAGGTTATTCAACAAACATCCACCATACTTGAATCTCAAAGTAGAATTAATCAACACATTTTATCTGGGATTCTGGCTGCTAATCAAAGGATAGATCTACTTCAAGCTCAAGTTGAGGAATTGTCTGATCTAGTACATTTGGGTTGTATTGATCAATGTGCACATTTATGTATAACCTCTGTCAGATTTTATGATTCCAGAAATGCCTCCCACATCATCGGGGAGTATCTATCCGGAACCTGGTCCATGGAAGCAGAAAACTTGATCCAGTCTCAACTAACTCAGATTGCTGTTTTGAACAGTACCCGTGTCGATCCCGTGACTTTGGGTCAGTTCACCGATTGGATATCTTCTGCTTTTTCCTTCTTCAAAGAGTGGGTGGGGGTAGGCATTTTTGGTGCAATGTGTTGCTTCGGTATGTTCCTCTGTTTGTGGTTTCTCTGTCGCCTTAAGGCCCACAGTGCTCACGATAAGGCTATGATCATACAAGCTCTTGCAGCTTTAGAAAATGGCAACTCACCTCAAGTCTGGCTTGCGCATCTTAAACAGTAAGATGTCGTTACACCCCAAGTTATTATAACATTGCACTGGGATCAACATGACTTTCCTTGTTATTCTCTTAGTGTTGGAAAGTCCTTGCACTCTGCCGGTCTTACTGCCATTGCACGCAGATGGGTTTCCACACTGGTGCTTTTCTATCGCCTTAAAGTCCGTGCCTTTCTTTCAGGGTGCTGTCAACTTGTTTGTCGTTATAAACAGCCACAGTTCAGCCTCAGCTATCCCCCTTCGTCCACCATCGTCACGATACAGGATGCGAGGCAAGGCACTGCACTTGAGTGATCCTTGACGTGGACCTCAAGGAGAGCATGTCCTATTGCATGCGGGTTCGACGCGTCCACGCCCCGCCCCACGAAAAAAGGCGTCGGCTGATATGGCCTCAGATCTGGGGAAGGGCCCTCCCTAGGACTGAGCCATACTATGCAGCCACTTCTGCACAGTGGGATAGGACCTCTACTCTCGCCTGTATTGTTTTAAGAAAACAGAAAGGGGGAACTGTGGTGAGCCGCTTCTGCCGTTTCTGCAGATTATGGTCGCCATTACAAGATGACACTGGCTCCGCTGTGGTCTGTGACAAACAACTCCTTATCTGGGAGAGTTGGCACATGATTTTTCACCACCCTGTGAGAAAGCTCCACGCGGCAGCTTTGCATTGGGGCTTGGGATGCTTTATTAAGGCTGGGAGGGGCATCCGAGAGGGAGAAGAAGAAATATCAAGGGCCTGAATAAACTGCTGAAAGAAGATTCCTGAGTTGCGTCTTCCTTGCGGGCAAGGGGTCGCGACACACAGAAGATTAGAGAGCTCTATCACTGAAGGTGTTGGGCATAACTAATGATCAAATACCAAATGCTATCTAAGGTCTTTTCCATATATCCAATATTTTGGATATTTTCCATATATCCATATTCTCAAAAAGCTACAAATTTCAAATAATCGTGTTTTGTGTCATGAAACACTTTACCAAGCTGGAAAGACAAGAAAGAAATTAAATTCTATGAACAAAGACCAATCTGACAACAAGCCTTAATCACAGAACATCTTAATCGTGTGTTTCAGACACATTTCAAATAAAGAAAAATAATTTTCCATTTTCTAACGTTTATCATTCTATTTGTAACTAGACTACTACATTTATTTTTAAAGAAACACTACAGTAGCTGGGTGCAGTGGTGTACACACATGTAATCCCAGTGGCTCAGGAGGCTGAGGCAAAAGGATCACAGGTTTCAAGCCACCCTCAGCATTTTGGCGAGGCTGTAAGCAACTTAGCAAGACCATGTCTCAAAATAAAAAACAAAAAACGGGCTGGGATTGTGGCTCAGTGGTTAAGCAACCCTGGGGAAGGAAGGAAGGAAAGAAGGACGAACAGGTAGACTATAGTAAATTCCCATGTGCAAGATGAGAGGAGTAGAGCAGAGTGGGGAGGTTTCGAGAGGCAGGCAAGAGGTGCTGAACATCACTAAGGGTCATGTGCTCTGTAGCCCATCCCACTTCTATCTCCCAAGGGTCACCAAGGGATATCTCTGCTCTGTGGAACCCCACTTGAAACTTTCCTCCAAAGTAAGATTCCCAGGACAAATGCACAGACTTCAACTAGGGCATACAAGAAATCTAGCTCATTTCCACTATAAGATTTTCAATAAGTTCAATAAATTTGGATAAATTATTAAATAAACCTATCACTTATTAGTTATCCTGTATGTATGTCTGATTTTTTTTTCACTAGTGTATCTCAAACGCCTAGAAAAGTCATTGACTCCTAATAGGTACTCAAATGTTTCTTGAATGAATGAGTATCTAAACAAAATGTATCAATAGTTTATAAGTATCAATATACAACATATCCTGTTTATTAACTTCTGATTTGATACTAGTAAAAATTGAATGTCAATTAAGTAAATGAAATGGTAGCTAATCCAAAGTATTAGGTTTTTTAAAATATTTTTTAGTTGTCAATGGACTTTTATTCTATTTATTTATATGTGGTGCCGAGAATTGAACCCAGCGCCTCACACATGCTAAAGTGCTATGCCACTGAACCACCACCCCAGCCCCAGTAGTAGATTTTTGTAGAGGACTTTCTATGGTCTGTCTCTGGCTATTCGTCTCTGGCTAGGATCCACATCATCACTCTAAATGCTTCATGTATATATAATTAGCTATCTTTTCTGAATTAAAATTGTGAAGAATGAATGGGGGGAGGAAACTTTGGCTTTTTCCATACCACAAATAAAGTCTGAAAAGCCTTTTCTAAAAAAAGAAGTAAGTTTTTCTGATCTTTGTCACAAAACAAAATTTGTACCAGCAGTATTTGACCCAAAAGTAAAATTTCATAGCTTTCATGGTAAAAGGTTCAATTATAGACTTAAGGTTGTAATTCTGAGTTTCAATTTTAAATACTAGATAGTTAAAAGCCCTGTAAAAAAGCTTTCTGGGCAATCATCAAAGATTACAGAAAGATACTACCCCTGAATAATTTTTTTGGCTTAAAAAACAATGGGAAGGGGGGTTGTCCTCCACTTATTTACCAAGCACCCTCTTAGTGGCTAAAAGCTTTGTTAATAATGCAGTGCATTCTCTCCTTTGTTAGCTAGTGAAAGGAGGCTTGAATTTCACATTCACATTCAATTGGTAGTTGCAGGAGAATGCAATAAATAAGAAATGTTTTATCCAAAGCAGAACAACCCTAATCTTCAGGTGTGGACTGATACAAAGAGCTGACATTCACAGAATTCAAGAGAGTCAACACCTAACAAATTCTTGCTCCCCTCCTGGGTGTCACTTTACCTACTATTGCTTAGAAAGGTTCATTTCCCTGGCAGCTAAAGACACTTAGAAGGTATTTGAATCAACACAAAGGATCCAGCTTAGAATGCTTGACGTCCTTGTATATAATTTAGAAGCTGAAGGACAAGCTTTGAAAAATCTTTTCTATTAGCTATGTTTAGATTAATGATCAGAGATTAATGAGCAGAAACATCCAATATTAATTCAGCAAGTCAGCCAAATTACAACTTAGAGTTGTAATTCTGAGTTTCAATTTTAAATACGGGATAGGTTAAAAGCCCTCTAAGAAAGCTGGAGAATTCAGTTTGGAGAAAGACAAGTACTTAAACATTAATAGGCTATACTTTATTTCATTCACTCAACCAACATTTATTTAGTGTCCACTATCTATCCCAGGCAGGATGCTGATACTTTCAGCAGGAATGTGACCACATCTAACATCATACACATATATATTTACTCATTAGTAATTTGATTTTGTGTAATGGAGCCTTCTACAAATGTGTACAATTTTAAAGAACATTTACAAAGTTTTTCCATACATCTTAAGTATTACTTTACTTCTATGTTAAAAAACACTGAGAGACTGTTGTGTGTGGGTGTGCACATTTTAAAACAGGAATGCAAATTTTTTAAATATTCCTCAATGATATGTTTATAAGCATGGTGTCTCGTTGATCAACCTCTTCAGCTAACTTAATAAATAACTGTCATTCTTTGCTCAAAAAATAGCATTCTAGCAGTGATTAGTTGGTAACATTTAGATATAGAGCTCTTAGAGAGTTCACCCACCACCTCAGAGCTGGCCTATTCCACCAAAATGTTCTAGGATATCAAATGTCTTAGGATATCATTGATCCAAAATCCCAACAAAATCAGAGAACTGAAACTATCTTCCAAAAGAATGTTCAACTTCTTCTTGGAACAACAACAACAAAAAAAAAAAAAACCTAAGATGAGAATAACTGAAAGGAATATAGGGTACAAATAAGTTTAATCATCTTCTATTATTCTTCTATTATAATTTAACCTTAAGATAAAATTATGAATAAACAGAGCTAGGGAGTTGAAATTGAGTCTGAAACAAGATATTTACTACAAACTACTACTTGCTATTGCTGGGAGATTTAATCTGGTTATTTCAATATATTATCACTTGTATTTTCTTTACAGAGTCCCTGTGCTTAAAGACTGGATCCCACTATTCCATTATTCTAACCATAGTTCAAATGAATATTATTCATTTCCTTTGAGCAGGTTTTCTTTACCTTTCAAACACCACGCTAATTCCCAAGTGAGAAAACCAGCACATATGGTTTGAGATACTATCATATTTCAATATAATTTTGAGTTGTATGTCCCATCCACTAAGTCCAGTTTGAGGAAGTCCAACATACTAAGAATAAAAAACTAAGAATTTAGTCCATTTGGTTGCATTCTTCCACTGCATTTCACCTTCTGCTTTGAGTTTGCCAACATAGATATACACAGAAGTACTCTGACCTCTACTGCCAGAAATTGGAACTTTTTCTGTGTTTTTACTTTAATTCTTCTTTATTATAAAATTCACAGTATCTATAGCACTGTTTCTGAAAGTGTGATCCACAGCTATTTCCTTGAAGACTCACATGCTAGGAAGTTACTTTGGTACCATATTTTTCCCTTGATGATAATCTTTCTAATCCTTGTACAAGTTATCAAGGCAAAAGAAATTCTTTTGCAATGTTAATTCAAATTGGAAGATATTTTACAGAAGAATGAGCATTTCTTAAATTGAGGTCAGATGGTATACTTTTAGAAGTCAGAATACTGATCCACAACATAGTTAATTTCAGACTCAAGTGTTGATTTCTTTAAGAATAAAAATGTCAGTTTTGTTAAAATCATTTCCCTATATTGTTCTTTATTAAAAATTAATAAGAATTTCAGAAAAGGAAATTAAGTCATGAATTTAAATATATAAAACTATATTTCGATACTGAAGAGACCAGTTTGCAGGAGGACAGTTTCTATTTCTGAAAAAATGCAAACTGAAAGTTTAAAATTGACTTAAAGCAAAAAAACAAACTAGGACTACCATTTATATTCCTTAGTTAGTTTACCACAGGTTAGTTAGGGTTTAGCTATGAGATATCCCCAGTGCTCATGTGAGGGACGATGCAAGAAAGTTTCAAGGTGGCATGCTTGGGTTATGAAAAACTTAACATAATCAGTTATTGATTCACTTGGATTAACTGGATGGTAACTTTGTCAGGTAGGATGTGGCTAGAGGAGGTAGGACACTGGGGGTGTGCCTCTGGGGTTTATATTTTGTCCCTGGTAAGCAAAGCTCTAGCTCTAACTTGCTCACTCTTTCTCTCTCTCTCTCTCCTTCTTGGCTGTCATGTCCTGAGCTGTCTTCTTCCTCCACAGTTTTCCACATGTTGTTCTTCCTCACCTTGGGCCCAGAACAATGGAACTGACCTCTGAAACTGTGAGCCAAATAGACTTTTCCTCCTTTAAAATTGTTCTCGTCTGGTCTTTTGGTTACAATAGCAAAAAAGCTGATTTAAACAGGTTCTTTAGCATATATAAGAAATAGGTAATTGTAATGCTCCATAAACAGTTTGAAATCACAGAAAAAGCTGTTAAAGCATTAAAACATACAAACGAAGTAGTTTACAACATTCACAAGATTATAAGTAGCTAGGATTTTCTATTTCCTTTTTAGCATTTTCTGGATTGTGTTCAATGGCATGTACTTCATTTATAACCAGAAAAAAAAATACTTTTCAAATTAAAGTTTATATAGGAACTAGGTATACAAAAAAATAGTGCATCATTTATGGATACATGCGGGCACAAACAAGAGTTATATGTTATATGTTATATGTTATGCTTAAAGATAATGATTGATTTTCTTCCAAGTAGCAAGAAATTCACAACAGTAAATCTAACCAAAACTGTCCCCAAGTTC